GCACATCTCCCGGGCTCCTCCCCGGATCTGGTGTTTGGAAATTTGATTCACAGAATGACATTCGATACCCGTTTTGTTTCTAGTGCATGAACATACAGTTGAATTTTGAACTTTTTTGGGGGGATGTTTTTGATTTTAGAGCCTCTGATGCCACCTGCCACGGTAATGATTTACCTGCAGACCCTCTTTGTGATATAGATGGTGGCGCTTCTGGTGAGAACCGGGCGTTTCCTGGCGCCCAGCCACCCGGCCTTTCTGGCTCGCCTGCCGCGGCCAGCCCTGGGCCCTGGCTCGGGTGGCCCCTTCTCGCCCGGCTCCCGTCCGGCTTAGCTGTTGAGTTGTGTCCAGTGCCTGCTGTGTCTCTTTGCAAAGGCCTTGTCCTCCTCTTAGCTGCTAGTGTGTTGTATTGCACTGAGATCTGAAATTGCTCGACTTCGGGGCGACAGCGAGACGCCCCCGCCTGGGCTGCACGCACGCGCCCGGACACGCGTCTCTGCTCCTGCTTCTCTGCCCTTCCCTGCCTCGGCTTGGGGGTGACACTCGCCTCCCGGGAGCAGGTGGCTGGAGTTCTCTGTCCGTGGATGACTGGGAGGCTCTGGGGTGAAATCACTCGTCCCTAGAGCTTGCTTCGAGGGGAGCCTTGAAAGCAGGTTCCTTTCTGTCCGGGGCCCTCTGGGACTTCACCACTTACCCTTTGAGGCACGGCTGGGCCTTGGGGGCCCGCGTGACTGACAGCCCTGGGCAGCGTGATGGTGCTGAAGCTTCCGCGCAAGCTGCTCCATGACTTATTCATTTGTTTGCTTAACAGAGAAGTGATTGAGAAGAAGCCAGAAAAATTTAAAGTCCAGTGTCTGACCGACATCAAAAACCTGTTTTTCCCCAATACAGAGCCCTTCTATGCTGCATTTGGAAACCGCCCGGCTGTAAGTAGTCAATGGGGTCGTGAGCGCCCCGGAAGGCCTTTGCTGACAGTGGCCTGTGGGGCTGCAAGCCAGACCCTCTCCCTGCTAGGACTGGCGGGGGGTCGGGGAGGGGAGCCGCTTGCCCCGGGGTCCACTCTTCCACGGCCTCTCGTTTGCAGGTGGACTAGTGGGGTTCAGCTAGAAGCTGAAGGGGCCGCAACCTCCAGATTGTGAATTGCTGGCTAAATGAGTAAACCTGGGCCAGGGCCTGGGAAGGGAGGGCAAGGCCCGTCCCAGCGTGCCGGGGACCCGCCCACCCCGCCCGGGGCATGTCCGGGAGGAACCCGCCAGAGGGCCGCGGCCTTGCCACGGTTCCGGAAGGTTCAGCATCCCGAGATTGCAGTTGGGCCCTAACTCCCCTGGAGGAAAAGGCTCCACGCTTGTAAACCACGCCGGCGGGACAAGGGCCTGAGAGTGGCATCTGGCGTGAGGATGGCGGGGTGCGGGGCTGTCCACTGTGTGGACCCCTGGAGGCGTAGTGGCCGCTTATCAGACTGCGCCGTCGTCGGCTCAGAAACATCACTGGCGCGCGTTGGCCACGCCCTCCTCACCCGCCTCCCCTCGACCCCCAGGACGTGTACTCCTACAAGCAGGTCGGGGTGTCTCTGAACAGAATCTTCACCGTCAACCCCAAAGGCGAGCTCGTGCAGGAACACGCAAAGACCAACATTTCCTCGTGAGTGCCTGCGGCCGGCGCCGGCGGGGGGGGGGTTTGGGGGGGCTGGCGTCCCCTCCGGCGGCTCCCGACCCGGTTGCCCCCGCCCTCTGCTGCTCAGAGTTTGTCTTTGCTTCCTGCGAGGGACACCGAGTCCAGGCTCATCTGAGCTGGGCCAGGGCCCCTTTGAGCCGGGACTTTCAACGGGGCTTGACTCTGCTCCCGAGTGGAATTGGGGGGTTGGATTGGCCAGTGGGGTTTGGAAGCCTTGCACGTGCTTTTGGAACGGGGCCCTTTGGCGCAGCCCCGTGAAGCCAGGCTCAAGTGAGCCGCAAGCTTTCCACAGAGCCGCTGCTGGTCACTGTGCGGCCGCGGCGGCTGGCCGGTCTCCCGGTGCGGGTGTGTCCCCGGGG